AATAGCTCGCTGGAAAAAGAAAGACAAAAAAAAAAACCGTTAATTTTGTCATTTTTTTTGAGTAATTTGACGATAGGTAGGTAACTTACTGTAGGATAAAAGTCCAATGCTGGAAAATACGGATAACCAAACTAATATACCGGAAATCCATCTCATGATGATTATGTAAAAAAATGAAATAATGGCGGCTCCGCAAACGTGTATCAATATCCACGGCCATATAATTGTAAGATCTTGAAAAATGGCGTGTCCAAACTGTACCGGAAAAAAAAATTAAAACGTTTCAAAGTTTCAAAGCATGGGAAAAAAAATCCATTTCCGGTTTATAATAATAAATATTATGTTTTTATACCTCGAATACTTCTGCTACGAATTTAGATGCGTCGAAAAATTGTCTACCGACAGCACCGGATATCTCGGATTTTTCCCATTTTTCAATTTTGCTACGAAATTCATCCGATTCTTTGTTTCTTATACTTTTTGCTAAGCAAACATAGCCAACTAAAAGCAATAATTTTTTTATAGCAAAACTAAATCAATCTACTGAACATCGAGCATTTTACTCAGGCATTATTTAGGATAATTGTGCGTAAAAAGGAAAAAGTACCCGAAATATTGTATCTTTATCGGTTATTGAATTTAAAACGTGATAATAAACGGTATCGAAATGTAAATGAGTATTTGTCAGTTGAGTAACGTTTTCAGGTTTTTCGTTAAGGTACGTCACGATAAAATCAGGTTTGTATAATTCGATACAATCGTAAAGACATCTCCTGTAAACTGAGAAATTAATTAAATCGTTTTGAAAACGGTTAATTCCCCGTTGAACGGTTCGTTCGTTAATTTTGGCGGGAAAATTTATATAAACTCACCTGGTTTGCTTTCTAAATACCATTCAGCGCATTCTTTACTCTCTATGGCTTTCATTGCACTTTCTTTATCCCGTATTTTAGATTTATCAAAATCATCCTTGCAAATTAATTTGTTCCTTAGGGATCTCGCATCGTAAAAATTGTTTAAATGTTGTTTTAAATAAAAATTTTCTTTCGGACATTCCGACACGCACACCTTAAATAAAAAAAATTAAATTTTCATTTTGAAAAAGCGCCACGGTCAAAAGTCGTACTACTCTTTGTTTTGTTTTGTTTTTGTCTACGTCCACGTCTTAATTCGTTTCTTACCCTTGTCGTATGACATTGAAAAATGCTTGCTTTCGGTGGTACGCATTCCAACAAATCAAAATACAATACGTATGGTCTATCTTTAACACCGTCATCGTATCCGCATCTTCTATTTCTGTAATCCGTGGGAGCGAAAAGTTCGTTAGGTGGGGTAGTACGAACGGCTAAAAATAAAAATAAAAAAAATTTCAAAACAATTATCAATTACGTCAAACGTTTTCTAAGTAATCGACGAATCGTCTGTCTGTCTGTCTGTTTGTTTTTTTTTTTTTTTTTAAAATTTCTATTCTTCCGTTTCCTGTGTTAATTAATAATCGTTTAAGCGGGAAATTTAAATTTTTGTTTACCGAAATAACCCAAACACACCCATCCGGCAAGACAACCGATAAATAATGCCAAACATAAAATATCCGTGCATGATCTCCGTCGGAAAAGTCTTTTCTCCGGATAATTGTGATATTTCGATCCTGAAATCAACAAATTATTATTATTATTATTATTTTAACATTTCCCCTTATAAAAAAAAAATTAACATTTTCCCCCTAATTCCTTTCGACAAATTTTTTTCTTATTACCTTTCATAACATATTAACCCAATTAAAAACTCAAACTTTGACCTGACCTAAATAATAATAAAATGTTAAATTATCCAAAAATAACAATAATAATAATAATAAAAATAAAATACTCCAGGGAACTAACGAATACAAAAAAAAAAAAAATTCATAGATGATAATAATAATAATAACAAAGAATTACTAAAGGTCACATCAATTAAAATTTTTTTCTTTCTTTCTTTCAACACTTTACTATGAATATTTTTACATAACGTTTACATTTATATCTTTTTTTGGATTAATATTATTATTATTATTATTATTATTATTATTAAGGTGAACTTTAACAAATATCATCGTTTGAAAACAAACAAAACAAACAAACAAAAGCAACATATATCAAATCTTAATAAATTGTCCAACCATAAAATTTAAAACCTTTCTTTACTTACTCTTACGTAACAAACGAAAACAATAATAATAATAATAATAATAATAATAATAATGAGTGGATTTACAGGAATAAACAAATTTAATATACAAACACCGTAACAAACGCGAATTATTCAATAATAATAATAATAATAATAATAATAATAATAATAATAATAATAATAATAATAATAATAATAGTCACGTGAAACAAGGAATATGTATTTTTAAACGGTTTAAAATCGGTGTAAAAGGAAATAACGCGATAAGTCATGTTTTTTTTTTTTTTTTATTTTAGTTAAATAAATATTTAATCAAATCTCAAAATTCCATTTATAAAACCTACATTCTAAATAATAATAATAATAATTGTAATAATAATAATAATAATAATAATAGTAATAATAATAATAAAACATCGATAACGAAAAAACTTTTTTTTTCAACTTAAAAAA